ACAATAATCAAAGATCGGGAATATAAGCGTAGTCACTAATTTTACTCGCAATTGTTCATTAAATATTTCATTGTTAATTTTAAGTTGAGCTAACGTTTTCATAGCTTGATTACAAGTCTTTAATACTTGGTGTTCCCAAGAAAGATTATTATCTAAAATGATCCCTAGATACTTAACAGTATTAACATAAGGAATAACGCTATTATCAACCAATATATTCTCTGCATTTATACAAGAATCACTGCTAACTTGTAGTCTACTGCCAATACAGATATTTCTTTTAATAGCTCAAATAAAAGGTGTTAGGTGAGGAAGAATGGCGGCGATAAAAGATACTGGAACAAAAGGATATAAGGTATCATTTTATTGCATCTCCAGTTTCTCCTAATGAGTGTACCACGTCATTAGACTGTTTCAAGAGAATTTATTTTTATTTTTTGCTTTAGGTTTTCATTAATTAAAATGTAACCGCACACTGATTTCAGACCTCTACTACAATGGTAAATTTTTCTGACAGTATTATTTATTGGAAAAATCTACTGATAAAATGAATTTGTAGAAATCAAGTGAACATTTTTTTTTAATATAAAGTTCTTTTTTTTTTTTATTTATGAGAACGAACGTGGTGAAGCGAAATCCAATTTGACTGCGAATACTCACGTTCATAGAAAACATACAGATTGTATAGATATATGATTTTGATATCGTGTATTGATAATGGCATCTTTTCGAGTCTCCAGGATTTGTGATGGAAGATCAAAAGTATTGAAAGAAATGAAAATTACGAGAAATATAAAAATAAAAAATAAGTTGACTGAAAAATATACTAAAAGAGACATTAATATCAGGAAATAATAAAAGAACCACACTGCAAGTTGGAAAAATCCAATGTACTGGATATATTTACAGTAGAATAAAATTGTAACAATGGTACATTTGAAATATTTCGAAAAATAAATAAAAAATTTTTCTCACAAAATTATTGAGATTGAAATGATGTTACAAAATAAATGTTTTTTATTATATAATAAAAACAACTTTATAATATAATGATTAATTCAAAGAAGATAAATTAAAAGCATCTACAAACCAAGCTGTTATTTTAATTGTTAACTTTTTTGAGCAAGCTTTTATTTTTTAAAATACATGTCGTACAAGTGCGGATCTCTGGATACATTGTCTCTGTACCATTTATTCATTCGCTATGTACATTATGTATATTATGTATACATGCAGATAGCAGTATGCTGCAAAGTTTATTCATTTAATTATTTAAAACAACATACTTCAACTGTATTATTTTAGCAATTATTATCTTCTAACTGGGACTAATTATTTTAATTAAACTACATTAGTGTAAATTCCATTTTCCGTATTTTAAAATTATGCAAGTTTTGGATTTTAATTATTTGCATTTAACATGAGAGAATGATTTGAGTCGTAAAAAAAATTTTTTTCTCATATTTTAAAACAAATTGGATTTAATAATGAAATAATCATAAAAATGTTTTTAATTATCTTACAAAAATGTTGAACAAATTTTTACAACATTTCTATAGCTTTTGTTATTTTTTAAAATAGTATTTATTATAAAAAATTCTATGCATCATAAATAAAAAATTATACGTTAATGTGAAAAAATTGAAATTGATATTTATGAGTCTATTATAACGCCATATTATTTGTTTAAAGATATAAATGTAAAAATGAAATTCAAAATAAAACTAATTTTTCAACTTCATTTAAAAAAAAAATGATCTTCAAAAGTCGGAACTTATAATTTTTTGACATAACTAATACAATGATGCTGTTCAAGTTTACAATGTTGTTTCAAGAGTTTCGTCGACTGAGTCGATTCATCATCTCAAGTTCGCTTGACTTTCTATTATGTATAATTCTTAATTGTATAAATGTCACTCTGACATCCGATATTTTAGTTTTTTATCAAACCATTTATTATTAATTGAACGGTTAAAAATTATAATCAACAATCACGATCAGATTTCAATAAACTGACATTCATCACAATACTCTGCGCTTTTTCCGCCTGTTCCAAAATTGAAATCTACAAACCGAAACATAACTAAAAATTTATTCCAATGATAATTGTCACTTTGCAAGTCTGATTCCCAGTCGTTACAATTTACAATTGCTAAATATTCAATAATATTAAAAATAAATTTCATTTAAATCATTAACATTTATCGCAATTTTTAGATAAATAAATTATTTTTTTAAATATGCAGCGAAAAAATTTGAAATGTAAATAAAATTTCATTTTAATAAATTTTCTAGTCGATGGACTTTTTAACTTAGCATAAAATAAAAAAAAAATAATAGACTATTAAATTACAAGTACTTTTAACAAACTCGCACTAATCGTATTGAACCGACAATAAAATGAAAGAGAATAATAAAATCAGTAAAAAGTGTACAGTACTTTTATGTGAATTGCAAGATTTAAATTTCCCGCATATACACAGCCAGAGTATTTTGAAATAATCAAGTAAATCTCCTGTTGCAAAAGAAAATAAACAGAAATAAAAAGGGATTGTAGAATTTGACGAGCAATCACACTAATTGCAATTATTTCGACGAGTCGGCTCTGGCGAAGTAGATACATTTTGAGGCACTTTATGTTACAGAGGGATTATTGTTCTTAGCATTGTTATATAAGCATTCTGATATCGTTAGTTATTGTTTGGGCTGAATAGATTAATTAATCGAGCATTAATGGTGACGCACACTGGTGCAGATCGTTCAAAGAGATTGATTGGCAACATAGGATGCATTGGACTCCCATCGTATCACTATTCTGATTCATTGTTAACTCTATTAATAAAGCATTGCAGTAAAATTGTTATAAACAAATGCTCCCCAACAATAGCTTAGAAATAAACTTTAATCACTTATAAACTTTTCTATCAAATTGATAAATAAAAAGAAAAAATGGTCTGATTAATAATCGACTTTTTCAGATAAAATTTAACTTGGTTATTTTCAAATTTAAGGACCAAGTTCGAAGTCTGTAATTTGACAGTGACATTAATTACCAATGTAATATACTTAGAGAACCAATTCGTTCGCCAAGGGCCGTATAAATAACGACGTAAGTTAAGAGAAAGTCGTTACACTTGTGTTTTATTTTATTTGAGATCCCAATTCTCTTGACCAAAAAGTTAATCCATTACCTACAGATGTCCTACACTATATTATGTTAGATAATATTATATTATACGAAGGTAAATCTTTTGGAACTGACAAAGTGTGTCTTTAAATCCAGAACGACCGATAAAAAGCTGGCCAGAGTATTATCGATTAGAAATATAAATACCAAGTTATGAATAATAAATGTAAATTTATCACAAGAGATTGTCTAAAACATAAATTGAGAGTTACTTTTAAATAAGTAATAGCCGTTTATTCTAGAGCATTGAGGTGGTTGAACTAGTGTCGTAGAAGCCTAGGGTTTTCGCTGAAAATCAATGTTCTAATATATATATGTGCCTATGAAGTATTACTTTGTCGTCGAAATTTTTCCCTCGAATTATTCCAATTGGAAACACTGGTTTATTAATAGCCCACACCGCAAGACAAATAAAATTCCACTTTTATTTTTTCCCCTTTACCATTTATTATTTATTTTATTTAATTATTCATGAATTTATTTTTTTTTTTGTCAACAGCTCGAGCATTTAACTTAAGATTTTTATTCATGCTGTCGTCATCTTTAAATTCATCAATATCTATAGTAAAGTTGTGAAAGATTGATGGTGTATCGATTGTGTGCTTTTTTGGGCGCAAGGGCGTGAAGAAAAATTTTCATTGGGGTGCTGACTTGGGTTATTAATTATTTATACGCTGGGTACAAGAGTAATGACGCAGATTATTTACTCATCAAATATAAATAATAAATAATGAATAAAAAAAAACATCTCATTAAACTTTCCGACGGCAGTTCTCTCGTAGTACTCGCTTATTAAATTTATTCGTTAAAAAATATTTTTTAGCTTCGTTAAATTAAATTTCGTATAAAAAATAATGAATAAAAAATAAAATTTTTGTTAATTCAATAAAACTTTTTTTAAATTAAAATTAATTACTTCTTTAAAAAAAAAAAAAATAATAATAATCTATTATGAAAATGAAGAGATACTTTAATAGTAAATGGAATATGTCACTCATGTTGATTACGAGGAACCATGAATAATTGTTGTTGTAATAATAATAAATCCCCGACGGTTTTTTATTTATCATCCTACATAATTGAAATTAATTTTCTTGGTTAGCGGACGCGATTGCTCTCGCACACAAACACGAGACAACACAACAATATAATGCTTTACTTAATAAATATCCCCGTACTAATGGTTAATAAGATAATAGTTCATTAGATTTATTTGGCCATCGCTCCAAGTACCACGAGGTCACTCTTTGAGGTCATAAAAAATGTAGAATTTAAAAAATCAAATCAATTTTATTTATTACATTGATAAGAAAATTAACTTAATTCAAGAGAAAAAAAAATATTGAATCAAGAATCAAGTCATAAATTACAAATTGCTTTTAGTTTAAATAAATTTCACTAGATTCAAGCGTTTTTTTTTTCTTAATTCAAGATGATCAAATTCTTAGAAAATACTTTTGGCATTTAAGATTTTATCTCTGGAATCAAAATAAAATTTTTATTATTGCATAGATAATAAATCTAATAAAAACATTCAAATGAATACCGATAAACTATTTACTTTCCAATCTCGCAAATCTGATTTCACTTTGATCATATAAAAATAAATAAAAAATCTTTAAAGGCGTACTTTAATATTATATTGATAGTCGAAAAGTCGATGAGCGTCGACAAAATATCGGAGAAATAGAAAAATGTAATCTAAGATTTAAAAAAAAAATTGAGTAAAGTTGTGATGAATGTCGCGTATGAAATTTGGCGGGCAAATAATTGTTAGTTGAATACCAGATAGATAAAAACACGAGGAACTTACTCAGAGGGTTGAGGGGAGCGGAACGGATGCAAGCAAATTTGACGTTGAACAGACACTAGAGCTCACGAAGCTCGGTTCAAACTGAACGTTAAACTCGTATGAGTCGATCCGGAGGTTTAGTTCGCTCCGTCGTTCCTTCAACTCCACTTGCGCTCCTCTCTCACTCACAATTCGACCTACCTATGCTTCGCTGTACTAGTGTACGCCGTTAAAACGTGCCGCCGCGCAACCTCACTAAAATTTATGACGTACTCCCTCTAGGAGAAGAGGGTGGCCTGGAAGCCCGGCGTCGGCGAACAAGTTTACACTCACCCATCGCCGGAGTATTACACTACACAACTACTCTCCAAAGAGATTTATCTTTTCACACCGGAATCGCTTCATAATCTCTTCGCTCGCTTTCTCTCTCTATCTCTCTCTCCCTCTACATACACACACACACACACACACACACACACACACACACACACACACACACACACACACACACACACACACACACACACACACACACACACACACACACACACACACACACACACTAAATACACGCTATCTTAACGTACGGTTGCAGTTATTGCCGTTGAAATACTCATTTATTCTCTAAAACGTTTATCTGCTTATTAGAACGAACAATCAAAACTCATTACATTACATGTTTTTTTTTTTTAATTTTATAAAAAATAATTTGGAGTAAGGAATTTTCCTTTGGCTGACCAAGGTGGAGCTTGATCACTGAAATACAAAAAGTTTTATCTATAAGTTAGTTATATCAGATTTATGAATATTTTATTTGACAGATGGTTATAAATTAGTCGCAATAATTAGTCTTGAGTAGCGAATTTTTAAGTAAAGAAAATTTAATAAATATTTGCTAAAGAAAAAATGTTTTTTTTTTTTTTTAAATATTTAAAAAAGAAAATTATTTTATTGTAATGGAATTTTTCAATAAAGAAATTTAGTAATAAAAATTTTGCTACATTCAATTATTTAAAATATTGGGAAATTAGACTGGAAAAAATAAATAGATGTTAAATTTTCAAAATTTGCTATTTTATAATTTTCTTAAATATTACTTTCAAATTCATCCACACGCAACACATGACCTTTCTTAATATTTTCTTCATTTAAAAGCTTAGATGATAATTAATTCTCTTTTACAATTTATTTCAATTTGACTTAATTCTTGTTGACTTTACCAGAGTTTAAAATTATTTCTTAAAAAATTTTTATGATTACAATGAGGAGAAAATTATTTTTTCTAAAATATCTTAAGTCAAGAAAATTATTTCAATACAATAAAAATTTTGGATTAAAAATTTTTTTTGTTTATTAACGAAGTAGATAATTGTACAATGACTTTAATTTTAAAACTCTTTACATAAATAAGATGAACTTACTCAATAAAATACTTAATATAAGAGAAATAATATCAACTTTGTTACCAAATTTTACAACGACACAGTATGAAAATTCGTTTGTTATTACTGTAATTCGCTTGTGGGAGCAATTGCCTGCTGATGTTGTAGATTCTGCGAGCTTGGAGATTTTTAAAAATAAGATGTATGACCACTTATATATTTAATTTGGACATTTAACAACACTCATTTATTCAAACTTTATTATTATTTACTGAATTTTGTCAAGCCGTTGAACAAATTGGTTAAATCGGAATGACGTTTTTTATGTTATTTATTTTTCAAATTTAGAATAGATTATAATTAAATAGTAACGATAGCAAATACTAATATGATTAATAATAATTATACTAGTCAATATTGTTAATTTATCACTCTAATTGTATACTTTTCATTATTTCTGTATGTATATATGATGTACCCTTAATTATGTCTGTATTTTTTATGATTGCCATTCGGCCATTAGGCCTTGGCATAATAAATAATCAAATCTATCTATCTATCTATCTATCTAATATTTACTTTATTTAGAACCTTAAATAATAATTGCTTTTTTTACAATGTCTTACAATTTGACTTGCTTAATAAAGTCTCGTTAAAATTACCAGATTTTAAATTTACTTCTAAAAAATTATGATTCAAAACCAATCAAGAGTTTCAATATTTTCAAATTTTAATTATAAAGTTCAAAAAAATTCAAAATAAAAATAACATCCATAAATTTTTAGAGAACAACCTAAAATTTATTTTTCGTCACAAAATAACAACAAAAAAATTCATAATCATTTATAAAAATGTAACACGATAATAAAAACATGAAAAGCAGACTAAAGAAAGTTGAGTAAATGAAAATCAAATCACGTCTTCGATGTTACGAATGCTTACAAAAGTTAAAAACAAGAACTTATAGCTTAGCTGGTGAATGATCAAGATTTGCAAAAATATATAGTAATAATTTACGAAGAAAAGATCCGCGTCCGCGTGTCAGTCAAGCGTATCCGGGTGTGTTGACGTTGCTTTGGAAATCAGAGTTGAGGATTTCCTTGTAACACTATCGTAGATGATTGTGTATTAGCGATAGCGAACAGGAGACGAGGACACATCAAATATTATGCCGTTAATTGATCAACCCAGAGCCAGTTAGTTTCATTACGTTCCCTCTATCTTCGTGAGTTTCACACAATGGAATACAGCCTCTTTATTCTCCTCCCTCTCTTCTCCTCTTCTTCTAGCTTCTTCACCTCATTATTTAAACTAATACATCGCAACTACCCGCCTGTATGTGGACGTCAGACCGTCTCTTATTGTTAATCCGATTAAATAATCTTGTACACAATAGCTTTCAACGAATACAACCAAGTTTGCTTTTAATTATTTAATAAGCTGTCTATTTACCATTTTTTTAAATTCAAGCCTTATGTTTTTATAATAATAATAATAATAATAATAATAATAATAATAATAATAATAATAATA